TATTCTCCTGGGCTGCCAGGATCATAATAAGCAAGTCCACAGAAGTGCAAGCTTTGAACTGCCAGTCACGGCACTAGTAATTTATTACTTTTTTAGATGAATCACCCTGTCCATATCACTTCAGACTTTTGAGGCCATGGATGGTGTATTTTTGCCATCAAAAGTCAAAGTATATTTTTCTATGAAATTCTAAAGGCTTTCTTTGCGAATGACTAAGAATTTAAAAATTGCTTCTAACTTTGTAGCAACGTATGTATACAAGTTGTCTTAAAGTCCCTTTGATGATCAAAAGCTGACCTATCACCTACCACGGTCTTTGAACCAAAGAAAGTTTGTGCGTGGTACCCTCAGTGTTCTAAACTCATTCCTTTACTCCTCAGCCTGCAAAATGATTACATTCTAAGTTTTGCTTATTTGTAGGTCTCCAGTCTACACCTCAGCTGAATCACTTCTTCCTGAGGGCTTATCCTGACCCCAAAGGCTAAAACTACAAATGCCCCCATAGCTTGAACTTTAGGTAAGTACTGCTTTAACTCTCACCACTGCCAGAATGTAAGCTCTCAGATTGGGTCAGCCTTTTAAATCCAGAATCTAACACAATGCTTAGAATTTGGTAAATGCTAGGCGGCTTCATTCTTTCACCCAAGCCATGAGTATGCTACAGAGACCCCTTCATTGGCCCCTCCTGCAAGCTGCCCTCCTCCACAAGGACACACTCTCCTCTAGTCCTCCCACCACTTCTGTTGCTCCTCCAGTGGCTGTCCTCTGCCTTACCTTATACTTCCCCTGCAATCCATCCTAGCCCATCTTCTTGAAAGTACATGGAGGCACTTGATAAGACATGAATGAATAAAAGAATATCATGCTTCAGGATTTCAATGGGAAATTCTAGTCACCTCTACAGCTTCAATAATTATGTTAGATTAACTAGTAAGGTCTAAGTATCTATCATTAAACTAAATTTCTTACCTGGGCAACTAGCTGTATTTCTACAAGTGCCTTTATGTGGTTATGTTCATAATTAAACTTGGGGTGTCAAGTTAAATAAAGCAGATTATTCATGCACAGATGACTCTGTATGAAAACAAAAGAATTTTTTTTTTTTCGGTCAGAAAAAGAGTCCAAAAGTCTTTTGAAAGGTGAAAAGTGGACAGAGGTGAAATAACTGAGTTAGGAGAGAGCATGGAGGTAATTTTTTCCCCCCTCATCTTTCAGGACATTATGATGGCTGCATTTTTTTCCCTTCTTTTTTAATTGGCTGTGGTTCCTCTGGGCGCCTTTCTATTCTTAATCACATCCAAAGGTTTCTAAATACTGAAATAGATACTTTAAAAAGGGAATGGGGATGTCAGTGGCTCAGTTGGTAATGTGTTTATTGTACAGGCAAAAGGACCTGAGTTTGGATCCCCTGCACCCAGGTAAAGCCAGGCATGGAGGCATAATCCCTGTAGTGTGAGGTGGAAACAGGTGAATCCCAGGTTTCACTAGCCAGGCCAGTTTAAACCAATTGGTAAGCTCCAGGTATAGGGAGAGGCTCTGCCTCAAAAAGTGGAAGACAGCAAAATGCCTCAGAGAGTAAAGGCCTTAGCCACTAAGCCTGGTGACCTGAGTTTGATCCCAGGACCCACACAATCCAAAGAGAGAATAAACTTCCTCAGGATGTCCTCCTACCTCTACACATTCACAATGGTACACACACACACACACACAATTCAAGGAAAAATATAAGGTGGAGAACAATAAACAACCAATATTGAGATTACACACCTGTGCATAATCACACACACACACACACACACACACACACACACACACACAAAAGAAATAAAAATAAAACAAACTGGGCTGGGCGTGGTGGCACATGCCTTTAATCCCAGCATTTGGGAGGCAGACACAGGCAGATCTTTGTGAGTTCGAGGCCAGCCTGGTCTACATAGTGAGCTCCAGGACAGCTGGGGCTATAAGGAGACCCTGTCTCAAAAAAGACAAAAATAAAGAAAATAATAATAATAATAATAATAATAATAATAATAATAATAAACTGAGCCTATGGAACCTGAAAGGACTCTACTCAGCATATGGATACCTGCCCTAGGTACTGAGTGCACAGCTTATGAAGCTAGATGGAAACCCAGGTGGAGACTGTTGGTATAATGAGCTATGACACACAGAAGCATCTTCCCAGGCAGCCAGGCTTCCATCAGCCCAGACACTGGACAGTCTCCTGAGGAAGTGAACAACCTCAGGACAAAAGGCTTTCAAGTGCTGGAGGATCCCCGCCATAACCAGAAAGCCACTGTCAACAAATTTTTCCTCTGCTGACACAACTTCTATCCAGCTTTAGGATCCTTAGATACTACTTTACATCCATAAAGTAAGCCTAAGATATAACATGAATGAAAAATAAAAGTGCCTGGGATTTAAAATATGGTACCATTAAAAATTATTCAAGAGTTAGAATGTCCAATCTCACAGAAAGACATCTCCCTAAGCACACCAGGGTAGAGGACGGGGGAGTAAAGTAGGAAGGAAACACTACTTTTAAGAAGATAATTAGGGGCTGGAGAGTTGGCTCAGTAGTTAAGAGCACTGACTGCTTACAGAGGGCCCAGGTTAAAATCCCAGCTATTTTGACTTTTAAATTATTTAATTACTTTGATAACTTAAATGGAGAATAAAAATAAAGCTAGCTTCTCACCTTGAAATGTGCCCCTTCCTTTCTGCATTTCCTTCCTCTGCTAAAATTATTAACCCCTCAGTTCTACCTTTGATGGAGCTTTCTCAAATTTCTTCTCTCCAGCTCTTCATTACCAATGCTGGCTGTGGTCTCTACCCTTCCATGCCATACTGCTTTCTAAAGCTTTTGTGTCTGCAACCTCTGACAAGTGTTTTCCCAGTGTAGCCTCCTGTCTCCTCTTCTTAGATGCTTGGGGTTGGTAGGTAGGAACCTTCCAGCTAGCCTGCTCCAATTGCTCCTTCCAATGTCATCCTCCTCCTTCAAAACTGCCAGCTGTGTGAAGGTTACTTCACATCACTGTACTAACCACCTCTTACCCTGCTTCACTAAATTTCTAATACCTTGCTCACCATCTTTCTCTCTACTATAACTAGGCATATTCTTGGCAACTTCAATACACATTTTAAAAAATTCGCATACTCTGGCTTCTAGGACTCATTTCCTCAACACCACCAATGTATTCTATCTGGGCCACCCACTACTATGGGTCCTGTCATCACCACCTCCTACCACAAGCTCCTACCTCTCTATCTTCACGTCTTCAAGTGTCACCATCCAACTTTGCAGCATCTCTGTGAACAGGCTTCTCAAGGCCTCACTGTACATTCTTTGTGAACCTGCACGTTTCACTCCCTGAGTAACTGCTCTGCTCCCTTTCTTGTATCTAACTTATCTGTCCAATCCTAATTAAACCTTCCTTTGGCTCTTAAACCCAAGTAGCTAAAATTTTCTCCAGAAATGGAGAAAACTATGACAGAACACTGCTAACCAGTAGTTTGTTTCCTCCTTTTTCTTTTCCTCCAAATTTTAAATTTTGTATTGGCCATGGTGATTGAACACAGTGCCTTGCAAATACCCTTCAAAGATTCTACTAGTATTTTCTTTTTTTTAAAAGTATTTTATTTATTATTTTCATTTTATGTGTATGAGAATATTACCTGCATGTGTGTAAGTACACAACACACAATGCCCATGGAGGAGAGAAGAGGGCATCGAATCCCCTGGAAGTGGAGTTAAGGACTGTTGTTAGCTATCATGTGGGTGTGGGGAATTGAACCCAGGTCTTCTGCAAGAATAGCCAGTGCTCTTAACCAATGAGCTATGTCTCTAGTCCCTACTAGTATTTTCTTACCAGATACTACTACCAGTCACCAGAAGCTTGATATTATGAATCTATTAAAAACACAGAATACATTCCAAATAGAAAACATTTATTTATTTTATTTATTATTTTATTTATTTACTTATTGAGATAGGGTCTCCCTGTAGCCCCAGGTGGCCTGGAATTCTCTATGTAGACCAGGCTGGCCTCAATCTCACAGAGTTCCCCATCTCTGCTTCTTGAGTGCTGGGATTAAAGGCATGCACCAACACCCTTGGTGAAATCACTTTTAAATTAGTAAATCTTCATTTCTTGATCATCTCCTAAGAAAGATACAGATTTCTAAAAATAGGATATAGAATTTAAAATTTTAGGCCAGGTGTGGAGGCAGAGGAAGGTGTATCTCTGTGAGTTCAAGGCCAGCCTGGTCTACATAGTGAATTCTAGGTCAGTGGGGACTACATAGAGACCTTGTCTGAAAACAAAAAACAAAACACAATACAACAAAACAAATCTAAGAGAGAAAAGGCACAGCAGTTAAGAGCATTGACTGCTCTTGCAGAGTACCCAGGTTCAATTCCCAGCACCCACATGATGACTAACAACTACCTATAACTCCAGTTCCAGGGGAATTTGACGCCTTTTCCTGACCTCCACAGGCACTGTACAACACAGGAGGACTTACATAAGCACGCAGGCAGTACATTCATACAAATAAAATGCCTGTGGAGGCCAGAAGAGGGCATCAGATTCCCCTGGAACTGGAGTCATAGATGATGTGTGAGATGACTCAGCTGGTAAAAACACTCGCTGTACAAGCCTGACAACCTGAGTTCAATTCCTAGATCCCACATGGTGGAAGGAGAGATGTGACTCCCACAAGGTGTCTTCTGATCTCCTATTTGTGCTGTAGCACATGTAAGTGCTCTCTCTCTCTCTCTCTCTCTTTCTCTCTCTCTCTCTCTCACACACACACACACACATACACACACACACACACACACACACACACACACTCACACTAAATAAATGTAAAAACAAGAAGAAAAAAATTTAAATATCTTCATGGCAAACTGTACTAAAAAACATTAACAAAGACAAGTTTATTACTCTTGGGTTTCTAACCCATTTAGGTAAGTATGCAATTCAGAAGTAGTTATTTGAACAAATTCATCTTATTATGTTCATAAACCTAAACAAAGCAAATAATATAGAGTACAAAAGAACATAAGAAAAATTGTTGGTTTATTGATATTATAACTAGTTTTGATAAAAACTAAATTACAAACACAATCATTAGCTCAATCTTGAACAGTTTATAAAACTAAAATGCAGAAATTATCTTAAACTCTTAAGGATTTCATACAAAAACTCAAAAATTTGGTATTTCAATAATCACATCAAATGTTGACTTACTGATTGAGAAGTGTAAAAAAAAAAAAAATCTGAGATTAAACTTAGCGGATTCCAGGTTAAGAAAGTATGCTGTTTTCTACATATACTATCTCTGTATTCTGCACAGAGTTCCAAGGCAAAGATTGCCTCTGGCTTTATGAACTGCCAGAGATGGTGTGTGTGGCTGACTTATTACAGGTTTTTTGCTCTTCCTTCCTGATAAGTTCTTTGCTTCTTTGGAAGGGGGCATATGAATTGGCTTCCATGGAATTGGATTACAGAAGGCTGGTTCTGGATAGGAATTCCCACTGTAAAAACCTGTAACCATTAAAAAAATCAGAATAAACAAGAGAAAAAATTCTTAGATCAAAAAATAATCAATTATTTTTAATTTCTCGAAAAATGTTAAAATGTCAACAGGGCAAACACCATTAATCAGATCAACTTACTGAAATCTTTAAGTATTTTCAAAGAAATAACATTGTCCAAATACAGTAAGCATTGCTAACAAACACTAAAAGATAAAACAATTTTGAGAATTCTAGTAATACTGTTATATAAAATAAAATGCCCACAAAAGTTTTACTATGCAAGTTATTATGGAACTCAGACAAAACCTTTATGATCTTCACTCAGAAATGACTAATTGTATATTAATTTCCCCTTATCTGATACTAAAGTTTATTTTTAAAAAAACTTTATACAAAGTCAAGATTCTTGTGTAGAAGCACTGAAATTCTGAATTACTGTCAGATCAGTAAGATTTTACAATATCACAGCAATTCTCATCACTTATTAGTCGTCTTCTACCAATGTATATGAAGTGTTTAAAGAACTGTGATTTCTGACAACTAGTAACTGTGGAGGAAGAACATTTTATAAATGGGCTCTAAGTCCTTTACTCACTGTACAGACAAATTTATTTCACAAATAAATGAGCATTAAAAAAAAATGAAGACTTAAAACACAGCATTTTTCAGAAAAATAGGCTGCTTCTAAGAATTATTTAAATCCAAAAAATTTAATAATCCATTACTTTAGTACTTAACTTCTAATCAATACACCTATTCTCAAAGTTTTAGTTTTGCTAACTGATCATTAGGTTAAAGTAACTGCTTATTACCATTTTTGTAAACAAGAAATAAAAATATAGAAATTTAAAAAAAAAAAAAAAGAACATGCCATGCCAGTGCTCAGTAGCCATAATGGATGACCCTGTGACAAGTAAGAGAGGCCTAATCCTGCCAGCAGGAATGTGTCTTTCAGACACTCCCAGTCTACTTTGACTACAAAGATATGTCAACACACACTTCACCAAGATGGTCAAAACAAAGTCTGGAGTATGTTCTAGTGTGTGAAAAAAACAGAATGGGAGTATTTTTAATAATATATCACTTAAACGAGTGAAGGCAGCTGTCAGCAAGCTAGAGTTTCCAACACAAAGCACAAAGAAAAACATGCATTGCCATTTATAATCAAACCAAGCCTAAGGCCAACTGGGTATGTTTGGTCATAGACTATCTAGTATTCCACCCTTTAAAAGGAATGTGCTTACACTGGAGGCTCTGCCTTAGAGAATGTTAGAAGGGTAAACCAAAATGACCTCCATAAACATATCCTAATTAAGGTTTTATCACACAATAAATGTAAAAAAATTTTTTGGAGTCCTGGGGACTGAGCTCAGAATCTGGCACATGCTAATCTATGTTCTACCACTGAGCTACACTGTCAACCATGAGAATTTTGTTTGCTTATATTAGAAATCATTGCTTTAGCATGTAATTTTGCAGCCTCTTTAATGAACGGCACTGGGAAAACTGGAATTCTACATATAGAAGAATAAAATTAGACCCCTATTTGTCACCTTTAACAAAAATAAATTCAAAATGCATAATAGAGCTTAATAGAAACTTTGAACTGCTAGAAGTAGAACGAGTGAAAGAAATCAAAATATAGACATACGCAGCTCTTTCTGAAAAGACTCCAAAAGCACGGGTAACATGAAATTAAGACGCTTTCCATGGCCCAGGAAACAATCACCAGAGTGAAGAGACAGCCTACCGATAGAGAAAAAAATCTATGGCAACAGAGGATTAATAATCTAGAAACCAAAGAACTGCAAAAATGAAACAAAGAAGAAATCATCCAATCAAAAACTGGGCCAAAGAACTGAACAAGCATTTCTCAAAACAAATATAAATGGCCAATAAATACTTGAAAAAGCTGCAGGGCTATGGTGCAGCATGCTTTCAATCCCAGCATTCCTGAGGCAAAAGCCAGCAAATCTCTGTGAGTTTGAGGCCAGTCTGGTCTATCCAGCAAGTTCCAGACTAGCCAAGGCTACAAATTGAGACCTGTCTCCAAACAAAACAAAGTTAAGAAAAAGAAGTGTTCAACATCCTCAGCCTTAAGGCAAATACAAACTCAAACAACTTTGAGATTCAATCTTACCTTATGTCAGAAAGGCTGTCATCAAGGGGAAAAAATGCCAGCAAGAATGTGGAACAAGTACACTGCTGGTGGTAAGCAAACTGGTGCAGCCACTATGGAAGTCAGCTTGGCGGTTTCTCAAAAAGCTAAAAATAGAACTATCTACTACACTTGGGTCTATACCCAAAGGACATCAGTCAACAGACCATAGAGATACTTGTACATCCATGCTGACTGCTGCACTATTCACAACAGCTGGAACCAGCCGAGATGTTAATGAAAAGATGAATGGAGAATAAAAATATGGTTCATATGCACAGTGGAATTTTTATTCCTGCATAAAGTTATAAGAAACCATATTTTCAGGAAAATGGATAGAACCAGAAATACAAGCTAGACTAAGAAAGTCAAATACCATGTTACCTCTTGTATGTGGAACCTAGATTTAAAATTAAATAGATGGTATGTATGTCTCTATATATGTATATGTTTGTATGTATAGCTCATGAAACTTACAAAAGGGATCATGAGAGGGAAGGAATAGATTTTAAGGAGTGGGGTGAAGAGATGACATGGGACACAAAAGCAGAAGAGGGAAATGGGGTGGGGGGGGAAGGAACCAGTCAGAGGGAAGACAGTACCACGGGGGATTAAAAGGGAGAAAGACAAATTAGAACAAGATATAACAACTTGTATGTATGAAAATGGCATAATGAACCCATTACCCTACATGCTAACTTAAAAAAAAAAATTTAAGTTTCAAGATGGGTGTGTTCGCTCATGCCAGTAATCACAGTACTCATACTGAGGCAGAAGGATTATGAATTCGAGTTTAGCCTAGGCAACATAAGAACCAAAAATAAAGGAATAAGTAAATAAAGCCAAAAATAAATGAATAAATAAATAAAATTTAAGTTTATAGTTTCACAACTATTGCCTTTAAAAACAGATGTATTTTATATGTGAAATGCATAAATGCATGGAGAATAAATTTATAAATCTTCCTTAGCAATGCAGCATATTAAAATTTTCTAGAGAAAATTAATTTGAAAAAAAATAATTTTTACACATTCCTATCAAAAGAAAAAATATCTAGATCTAAATCTAGTTCTAGAAAAATAGATAAGTATTACCTGCTTCTGCAAACCACACCTATGTAGCCATATAACAGGAAGACTAACCTGTGAGCCTCCCATTGGCATAACCATAGCTCTTCACAGCTGGACGAGGTTTATGTTTTGCCTTTTCCAACCATTCCTTAAACTTTTTTTCTGCTATTTCCTTTTTCTCCTGTAATTCTGCTTGCCGTTGCTTTTCTTTTTCCTAAAAATGACAAGACCAAAGAATTTTCTGGGATATTCTGCAACTAAACATTGCCATCAAACCTCACTACATTTGTTCATGTCTGTTTTCCCCCATTTGATTCCTGCCCCAATGACATACTGGCTGTAATATTGAATTATATTTCTGCAATTAGAGAGTACAAGTAAACATGATCAAGGATGTGATATCCAAATGTCTACCACTGAGCAACAGTAAAATATAGAATCTACAAAGATAACCTTCTGTTTTAAAATGACAACAATACAATGTCTACATGAAATCACTGAAAATATATACAAGCATTAAAACAAAAATTTTGAACCTGACAAAAATAACAGGCTTATTTATAATTCTCAAACAAAGAAAAACACAAATACATACTCACTTTGAAGCTTAAATGCAAAATAACAGAAATAAGGAAAGTTCTGTGTATTTTATACTAAAATAGTACCAACTGTCTGAGTATATGTCAATGTTATACATTAACACCAAGGTATGTATTCTGACTGGTCACATCAGTAAAATACCTTCTCTCTTTTCTTCTTCTCACAATCTTCAGCATTTTTTTTCTTTAACCATTCTTGATATTTTTCTTTTGCTTTTTCTTGCAAGTATTCTTTCTCCAGTTTCTTTGCTGCTTTTTCCTCCATTTCTTTATTAATTTTTTGTTCCCTTTCTTTCCTTTCCTTAAATAAAAATGGAGGAATTTTAATTGAAGTATCTGTAATTATCCTTATAGAAAGAAGGCTTGCAAAAGAAAAGAAAAAGAAAGAAGGCTTGTGACATAAAATCATTTTTTGAACTTCAATAATTTCTTAAATTAGTGGTACCAGGGGGCTGGAGAGATGGCTCAACGGTTAAGAACACTGGCTGTTCTTGCAGAAGACCTGGGTTCTAATCCCAGCACCCACATGGCAGCTAACAACTGTCAGTAACTCCAGTCCCACGGGATCCAACAGCTTCTTCTGACCTCCACAGGCATTGCACGACATGGGTACACTTACCTACATGCAGGCAATACACACATACACATAAAATAAAAATAAGTAAAATGTTTACAAAAAATTAGTGGTACCATAGTAGCTGGCACAAAAATATTTGACATACCTATCATTACCTGTTTGATGTTAGTCCACTGACTGGGATATACATTTCATTAGGGCAGTGATAAAGACCCTGCTCATCAAAGCATACTCAGTACTAGAAACTGTGCTGAGTAAACAGTAGGTGCTCAAGAAAGACTTGATGAACTGATACATAAAGACTATAATCTGAGACCGGGTGTGGTGTTGCATACCTGTAGTTCCAGCACTTGGAAGGCAGAGGTAGGTGGAGTTCTGTGAGTTCAAGGCCAGCGTGGTCTACATAATTAGTTCCAGGCCAGCTGAAGCTATAGGGAGACCCTGTTTCAAAAAGAATCCTCCCCCGCCAAAGACTATAATCTGACAAAAAAGCAAAACAAAAACAAGCATGGTGGCATACACCTTTAGTCCCAGCACTCAGCATGCTAAGGCATGCGTATCTCTATGAGATCAAGACCAGTCTGGCTTACAGAGTAAGTTCGAGGGAAACCTTGTCTCAAAAAACAAAACCAAACTAACTCACTAAAGGTTATAATTTGTTGAGTTCTCCTGAATCTTAGTATGGTTTAATGGATATTCCTTACACTCTAAACATGAATCACAGATGAACACATTTGCTAGAAAGTTTGCAAACACAAATACTTGGATAAATCATCACCATCAATAGTTATAGAGGACAAATGCACAATAGGCAAATATTTGTCCCCAGAATTCTTACACAGATCCAAGGTTAGTAGCTTTGCACAGTGGCTCACACCTGTGATCCCAGAATGTAGGAAGCTTACGTAGGAGGATTGCTACGAATTTGATGCCAGCCTGGGCTACATAGTAAGTTTTAGCATATCCTGGGCTACAGAGTGAGATGGGGAGAGAAGGAGTGAGGAGGGGAGGAAAGAAAAGGTTGGCAAATAAAGGTATGAAGGTCAAATCTGGTCCACTAGCCTCTAATATTTTGTTTACATATTTATTGTTTATGTTGCTTCTGTCTTATAATAGCAAAGTTGACAGATTGCAACAGAGACTGTATGGACATAAAGACCTAAAATATCTACTATTTGGACATCTATAAAAATAAATTATGGACCTTTGACACAAAATATAAATCAGTATTTCTTCTTTCTTATTAAAATTATAAACCTCCAGCTTCAGCTAAGTTATAAATAAACTATGACACAGCTAGTTCTTTATATATATGTGCTCTCAATATTAATTCTCATAACCACAACATGAAATAGCTATTATTATCCTGCTTTACAAAGAAAGAACGAACACACAGGATTAGTAATCTGCGTAAGGTTACATAGTGAGTATCAGATCACTAAGTTGATACAGTTATAAAGTAAGATAAAAGGTAAAAACAATTTTATGCCAAAAACTTTAAACAAGTTCAGTAAAATATTAATATATCGCTTCCCAAAACTAATTCAGAATGAAATACAGTCTGAATTATCATCTACTTGTAAAAACAATTCAAAAATTAAAATCTTTCCCACAAAAAAGAAAAAGCGCAAAAAAACAAAAACAACTCTAGCCTCTACTTAAGTAGATTCTATCTGGCAGAGTCTTTATGCATTTAAGGGGGAAATAATTCTAAATAACTACAAATTAGAGAAGAAAAAAATTCAAAATCATTTTAGACCCAAAAATTATTGACACCCAAATCAGACATGGAAATTATAAGAATAAGGTAGGAAAATTGCTCTCATAACAAAAAGCATGAAGTACTTCGTAGTACATTTAATAAGAGATAGACAATACCAACATGAATTAAAAAGTAAAAGTTACTGCTGAGAGAGATTAAATAAGACATATAGGAATAAAAATAAAACTCACAGGGTCTCCTTAAAACTCATAGATTTTTAATTTGACACTAAAAATAGCAATTTTCTCCAAAACTATCTGTGTTTTATGCAAACCCCCAAATAGTGCCAGATATTACCAGTAAGGCATTTTCACAAAGTTGATTAGTTCCAGGTATTATGGAAAACAAAGTAACTAAGATTGAACAGTTGGTTGATTTATATTGTCTAACTCTCAGAACTATAAAGTCACTAATTCTAAAGTCTGATCTTTATACCATATATTAGAATTAAAATACACATACAGGAAAAGCTCATTATAAAATTTCTAGTAGAAAACAATGATTTTTTTTCTTGGAGGTGAACAAGTGGCACAAAAACGATGAACTATATGTAAAAAAAGGGAGTGTGCTAGAATAGAGCTCATTTGACAAAGTTCAAGCCTACCATGCACAAGGCCTCAGGTTCAATCCCTAGCACAGCATAAATTGTGTGTGGAAATTTGCAGTTCCAGTATTTAGTGGAAGCAAGACGACCATAAGTTCTGGGTCAACCTTGGCTTCATAGTGAGTTTAAGGAGCCTGGGCTGTGTAAGAAAAAAAATACATAGTGTTATAAAAAATGTTAATTCTGTTCTTTTTTTATTTTTATTTTATGTGTATGAGTATTATGCCTGCATCGGTGTCAGTGTACCCATGTCACAGTGCCCACAGAGGACAGAAGAGGGTGTTGTATCCCCTGGAACTGGAGTATTGGATGGTTGTTAGCCACCATGTGGGTGCTGGGATTCAAATCCCGATCTTCTACAAGAAAAGCCAGTGCTCTTAAACACCAAGTCATCTCTCCAGTCCCTAAATTCTGTTCTTCAAATAAATATGCCATTAAGAAAAATTAAACGAGGGCTTCTCAGTAAGATGGCATGTTAGAAGCTGCCTCCATGTGACCCAGTGAAAGAGGGAGTCAGAATAAGATGCAGACTCTCTTCCAAAGACAGACAGAAACCAAGAGCTTCAGAAAAACACAAAGGAAATTAAAGATGCCTGAAAAGCATGGGGAAAAAGACAGAGGACATAGTGATAAGTAACTTGAATTTAGCTGCAGCCATGCAGCTCTCTGCTGAAGGAGAGGAAGCAGAAGGCACTGCCAGAAGTTAGGCCAGGTGAAACAAGGCAGTCCTACCCTCCAGGGTAAGTCCATATGTGTAACAAGACTCAATAGATTTTGGTGAGAGAAGAAAATTCCACTGTCTTATTGCAACTTAGGGGGCAGTAGCTGGGCACCATTTTGAAAAAGAACCTACTGGGTCTATGGGCATGCCACCCTGAAGGCCCTTGACCTTAGAAGCTACGCACAATACAAAAACTCACTGTGCCTGAGAACAGGGGACAACCACAGGTCGGGGAGCTTCAAATTAGCCTGCCATAGCCCATGGGTGACAGAAGAACCAGGGGGGCAGTTGTAGAGAACAGATGAGCAAGACACTGACAAGTCAAAGAGTGCAGACTGCAGGAACCTGTCTCTGGAAAGGAAGTGTGTAGAGCAAGATGGCCCTGTCCTTGGTGGGCAGGAGCAGATCACAACTGAGAAGAACCCTGGAGCTTGATAGTTTTGATCCTGGGATAGACTCAACCTTTGTAGCCACAAATGTTCTGTTCACAGCTATGGAGCAGTTAAGTCCCACTCTTAAATTCTAGCAGTGGATTTGATATATACAGTGGATGCCTCAGTAAACACTTAGGAGATCCTGAAAGTAAAAAAGACAAGTCCTTTGCCTGTAGAGGTAATCAGGGGTACTGGTAATCAGGGAGAAGCCATCACCTGCCCAGAACATTAGTGACATCAGGACATAGGATCTGGGGAGACTTGGGAGGGGAAGAGAACTTACCCAGCCCATAGATTGCAAAGTTAAACGTGGTCAGCAGCGAGCTCTGGTAACCAAAGAAGAAAAGCTACTAAAGTGAAGACATCTCTGGAAGATAGGGGACATTAGTCCAAAACAGATACAGAAGCAGAATAAGCCTAAGAAAGGACAAGAGTCCATAGTCCATCTGACCTTCCCATCTCCATCCATTTCATTGCCAGTCTGCAATTTCCAAGATCCCAAAGGAAGCTTCTCTGACACTTTTGTTTTGTTTTGTTTTGTTTTGTTTTGTTTTGTTTTGTTTTGTTTTGAGACAGGGTCTCCCTATAGCTCCAGCTGACCTGGAACTCACTATGTAGACCAGGCTGGCCTTGAACTCAGAGATCTGCCTGCCTCTGCCTCCTGTGTGCTGGGATTAAAGTCATGCACCACCACACACAGCCACTTTAGCCTTTTTTCTCATTATTTTTGATTCTTGATTTATTTACTATACTTTTAAGTATTTTCAAATTATGTTTTTGTTATTATCCTGCATACAGTTAACTATTTGTTTATACATTTTTTTCATTATTGGGCAATATTTTTTCTTTTCCTTAATTATCTTTTTGTGCGTGTACCCTGTGTTTCCTCCTTCTCTAGTTTTGCCTACCTGCTTTACCTAATTTTATCAAATACACTTATGTTTTTATATTTTACTTCTGTGCTTATATTTATCTAATTTTTTTGGAATTTTTTCATTATTGAAAAATATATATTAATAATTTTTGATTTCATAGCACCTTCTACCATACTTCATCATTTTCTTTTATATGCTCACTGGTGATGTACTGGTGGGCTTTAATAGTTTGTGTTTCTATCATTTGTGGTTTGGTGGTGTTGCTGTTACAGAAAGTTTTTTCTTTGCTGAGCAGTACTGGGGACTAAGCCTTCAAGTGCAGGCTGCT